TACATATATATATATATATATATATGAAATGTATATATAACACATGTTCCTTATCCATTCATCTGTCAAGTGGAAACTTAGGTTGTTCCCATGTCTTGTGTATCGTAAATAATGGTGCAGTGAACATGAGGTGCAGATACCTCTTCTGAGGTAAGGATTTCACTTATTTTAGATAGATACCCAGAAGTAGGATTACCAGATCATGTAATAGATCTATTTTCAATGTTTTGAGGAACTTCCATACTGTTTTCCCTAATGGCTACGCCAGTTCACATTCATACAACAATGTATGGGATTCTCCTTTCTCCACAGCCTAGCAAACATTTGTCTGTTGTCTCTTTGATAATGGCCATTCTGACACATGTGAAGTGATATCTCACTATGGTTTTGCTCTGCATTTCCCTGATGATTAGTGATATCTAGCATCTTTGCACACACCTGTTGGCCATTCATCTTTTTCCAGAAATATGTCTTTTCAAGTCCTTTGCCCATTTTTGAATTGTTTAGTTTTTTTGAGTAATATCTTATGTCTACATCTTTTCACCTACCACACATAAAAAAAAAAAAAAAACCTGGGAAATTTCAATTTCAGAAAAATAAGCACTATTGCTTTACAAAATTATTACATTAAACTCACTCATATTTCAGGTACCTTTGTGGCTCAGTCATTAAGCATCTGATTTTGGCTGAGGTCATGATCTCACAGTTCGTGAGTTCAAGTCCCACATCTGGTGAGCACGAACCCCCCCTCAGGTGAACACAAGCCCCACTTTTCTCTCTCTCTTTCTCTCTCTCTCTGCCCCTTGTGGGATTCTCTCTCTCTCTGCTCCTCGCTCACTTGTGCCCCCCCCAAAAAAAAAAAACAAAAAATAAAAAAACTCAGGTATATTTCTACTTCGGCCCAGGAAGCCCTCAATTTACTAAGATATTGTTTGAAAAGCTTAGGAAAATAAACTAATAAACAATCGTGAAAAGCTAAAGTAATCACTTTTATTTATCTGTCTCCTTCAAACATTCCTCTCTGCCCCCTCTCTCTCCTCAAAAGAAGGAGGACAAGGAAATTGTGCAGAACCAATGAAAATTGTTTCTGGATCCTTTCAAAAAGATTTGCAGGTTGATAACATCGGTTCTTTATCACTTTAGCAACATAGGACTTTTCTGTGATGAAGGTATATTTTCAAGGCACTCTGAAAATTAACAACTTTAGGCACTCAAATTGAACAATGAAAGCTTTGAAATGCAAGGGGAGAACAGAACATGGAAAACTAAAAATATTCCTAAACCTTTAATTCCATCATCTTCCAAAATTGTGGGTATTGTACACCTTACAGAACTGATGAAAAGGTCAGATGAGATATTTCTTAAAGCATCCAGCACAATGCATGGCACATCATAAACACTCAAGTGTTGCTTCAATCAGAACCACAAAAAAAAAAAAAACCAAAAACCATACCAGAACTAGAAGAAAAGGTGAGTATGGAAGAGAAGAAAAGAAGATAAAAACAAGAAAACTACTAATATTAAATTAATAATGGTGATGATAAAAAAAAAAATTGGGGAGAGGCACACAGCCAAGTTCATATACATTTTACTCCTCTGAGTGATAAAAAAAATAGAAGGAATATTTCAGGTTAAATAGCTTCACACAAATAGTCACAAACTCATCCATTCAGTCCAGGTAGCTTGACTGCAACCCAAGTAAACTGAGAATACACGTAAGAACATAATATGTAAGTACCAAGTATCTGAAACCTGAAAGAAATACCTGCATTCAGTCTTTTTCACTGATCAATTCTGAATTCTGAATAGAACAATAGCAAGTTACCTTTTTTTTTTTTTTTTACTGTTTATTTTATTTTTGAGAGACAGAGCATGAGCGGGGGAAGGGCAGAGAGAAAGAGAGAGAGACACACACACAGAATCCCAAGCAGGCTCCAGGCTCTGAGCTGTCAGCACAGAGCCCAACATGGGGCTTGAACTCAGAAATGGTGAGATCATGACCTGAGCCAAAGTTGGACACTTAACCGACTGAGCCACCCAGGTGCCCCAGCAAGCTACCCTTTTTTGCATGTAGGCCAATTCAGAAAAAATAAAAATGCTTATAAACAGAATTTTTATTCAAAATTAAAAACTTTTGTATGTAAATTATTACTACAATTTATATTGCTTCCTTCATTAAAAAGAAAAACGGGGGCGCCTGGGTGGCTTAGTTAAGTAAGCATCTAACTTCGGCTCAGGTCATGATCTCGTGGTTCGTGGGTTTGAGCCCCGCGTCGCACTCTGTGCTGACAGCTCGGAGCCTGGAGCCTGCTTTGGATTCTGTGTCTCCTCTCTCTGCCCCTCCCCAACTTGTGCTCTGTCTCTCTATGTCTCTCAAAACAATAAATAAATGTTAAAAAACACAAATTTAAAAAAAGAGCCAGTGAAAGAGTTGTACTTTTTAAGTAAGTAAATATTCAAATCTAAGCATATTTGAGAAGAAATATATTATGGAGGCAGCTCTTCAATACTTTATCTTCATATTAGATCACAGATTGTTGTAAAGTTAGATGGGTCATGAGTTACTCAAGTGGTATCACTGATGGAGAGAAAGGAAGGAAGGAAGGGAACATTTGTGTTCCAGGCAAAGTTTTGTATGTTTTTTTCATGGGGTATATGATAATCTGTATGAATTTTTTAACTAAATGATTTCATAAGAATAGTAACTTCTTTGGGGCGCCTGGGTGGCTTGGTCGGTTAAGCGTCTGACTTCGCCTCAGGTCATGATCTCACGGTCCGTGAGTTCAAGCCCCGCTTGAACTCTGTGCTGACAGCTCAGAGCCTGGAGCCTGTTTCAGATTCTGTGTCTCCCTCTCTCTCTGCCACTCCCCTGTTCATGCTCTGTCTGTCTCTGTCTCAAAAATAAATAAACGTTAAAAAAAAATTTTTTTTAAAAATAGTAACTTCTTTTTCTCTAACATTTTAAACCTTAGATAATATAATCTAGATAAAGATTTTAATGTTTATTTTTGAAAGAGAGAGAGGGCGCTAGTGGGGGAGGCGGTAGAGAGAGGGAGAGAGGGGATCCCAAGCAGGCTCCAAGCTGTCAGTACAGAACCCGATGTAGGGCTCAAACCCCAAACTGTGAGATCATGACCTGAGCTGAAACCAAGAGTCAAACCAACTGAGCCACCCAGGTGCCCCCAAATAAAACTTTTCAGCCCAAAAAATGTATCCAGAGATTCTAGTTGATATTTTGCCAAGGTGAAATGGAGACCATAATCCAGGTGTGGCCAGGGATTGCTACCTGTCCACCAGAACCTTTCCTTGGTTCTTCAGGAATAGAATTGTATTTCAGCAACTGCCCACCCAGTGTTACTACTTTTCCCAGCTACTCTTGCAATTTAGATGTAGCATATGTCCAAATTCTCAAGCTAATGTGAGCTGACACGATGTTGCCACTTCCAGGCCTATACCTCAAGACCAGAAGAGGAGATCTCACCTCTTACATATTTTTCTCTTATCTTCTTGCTACCTGCAATCTGGATGTGGCAGCAACCCAATTCTGACCATACAAATAAGGACAATACCACACAGCAACAGTTCTCAAGGTCTTGTCCCAGGGTACGATGGGGGCTCCCAGATCCTTTCCTGGGGGAGGGGGAGGGAGGTCTGCTTTTTGGGTAATAATTTTTAGTAATTATAGCCTACACTAATTACTACATTCCTTACAAATATTTATAGTATATGTGATACTATCTTACATAGTATCATGAATTTGTCATATAGAATAATAGGATGCTTAAAATAATATAAAATTATCATTTTTTTTCTTTTTTTTTTTAATGTTTATTTTTAAGAGACAGAGGAGTGCAAGCTGGGGAGGGGCAGAGAGAGAGGGAGACACAGAATCCAAGCAGGCTCCAGGCTCTGAGCTGTCAGCACAGAGCCTGACGTGGGGCTCAAACCCATGAACCGTGAGATCATGACCTGAGCTGAAGTCAGACACTTAACCGACTGAGCCACCCAGGCACCCCATAAAATTATCATTTTAAGTTTATAGTTTATAGTTAGGGACAGTGGGGCAAACAATTCCTTTAAACTGTCAGGATTGTGCTTCAGCCCCTACTATAGAACGAGTTCTATAAAATTAGACAGCAAGTGTTGTTCTTATGACCACACTCATGTATTTTTTATAACTTTGATTAGATATGAACTAGAGTCTCATAGCATCTCAGAATTTCTTCATTTGGCTAGTCACACATTCATTTACTACATGGCAACATAATCATGTGGTTACCTAGCTTTATTTTCTGCTATCCTAGGCAATTCCATCCTAGGTAAGATGTTAAGAGGTAGCTAAGGTCAAAAATAAAAAGATAAATTGCATGGAAAAAAATATAGATATAAGGACCTATATATCAACCTTGAATCCTATTTAAAGTTCATACTACAAGATAAACATTTTTTTTTTTTAACTGTGCTGGAAAATAACACACATACCAAAATTCAGAAAGGAGCTGGAGCGATTTGACTGAACAGAGTCTGCAGGCTTGTTTGCTGGAGAAGAATTAGAGACACCTAGAATCAAAAGAAAAAATGTAAGGGAAAAGATGAAGACAAACTCTGATTACTGTTTATCAGAACACGTAACTTGAAATATTTCCTCCAAAGTAATTAAGACTCCCAAATTAACATATTACTATAAAATACCACAAAATACAGATGCTTACTTACAAATGGGTTAACTCTTTTGTGGGGGGGGGGGTATCTTTTCTTTGCAAACAGATTGTATAGTAAAGCCCAACACTAAAGAAAATCACCAGAGTATTCAGGAATAACATCCATTACATTGTGAAACAGCTTTGGGGGGATTCAAATTGTGGCTTTTGATTTCATTTTACTTTGCACTCATCACTCTTAAGACACTTTTAAATCATTTGTTTTCCACATGACTTCATCTATGGTTTTTCTTATAGCATCCTTTACTCCTGGAATATCTTCACTCTCCAGCCTACCTTTTTCCCATTATAGAGGCCCAGAATCTCCCCAAAACATTATTATATCGCTTTGTTTTGCTACGTTAGCTACTAATAGATAGGCTTAAAAATATGTTTCTCGGGGCACCTGGGTGGCTCAGTCAGTTAAGCGACCGACTTTGGCTCAGGTCATGATTTCACGGTTCGCGAGTTCGGGCCCGCATTGGGCTTTGCGCTGACAGCTCAGAGCCTGGAGCCTGCTTTGGATTCTGTGTCTCCCTCTCTCTCTGCCCCTCCCCTGCTTGTGCTCTGTCTCTCTCTCTCTCAAGAATAAATAAGACACTAAAAAAATAAAATAAAATAAAAAATGTTTCTCTTCCCAGCACCCTAATATATTCATGTATCAATTTCTGCCCAATTTTAAAAACACTCCAGTTTTCACATCATCCACATTTTGCACGTGCACTATCTAGCAGTGAAAAAAAATAATAATTTCAGGTTTGTATAAACTTTCTATAAAACTTTGTGTAAAAACAGCATATGATTAGGGAGAAATTATTAAAAAGTCACCCTTTTTTGGTTTCAACATTTTCAGTATGCAGCGTGAGGACTGCATCTATGTTTGTAAACACATGGCTAATGTTACAATTTGAGAAAAACCTCCCTCTCCCTGGAGGTACTTGAGTATGAGGCCCTGCGGGACGTAATGAATTTTAATCAGATTCTATTAAAATATATATTTATAGGGGCGCCTAGGTGGCGCAGTCGGTTAAGCGTCCGACTTCAGCCAGGTCACGATCTCGCGGTCCGTGAGTTCGAGCCCCGCGTCGGGCTCTGGGCTGATGGCTCAGAGACTGGAGCCTGTTTCCGATTCTGTGTCTCCCTCTCTCTCTGCCCCTCCCCCGTTCATGCTCTGTCTCTCTCTGTCCCAAAAATAAATAAAAACGTTGAAAAAAAAATTTAAAAAAAATAATAAAATATACATTTATTGAATATCTTTTATGTGCCAAGCATTGGGCTAGGCGCTGAGGAGAGAGACACGCATAAGATGTGCATGAAGGTAAGAAAGTTGAGGACATATCAATCATCACCATAATGCATATGAGCTGAGAGCTGTATACATCCTTCAGAAAGAAAACAATTACGCCAAAAGGAGGGAGTATTGTCTTTTTTTATAACAGGAGATGAAAGATTCTGCAAATAAATATATCAAAGGGAATTGCTGCTTTGCATACTGGCTTGCCACAATTTGTTTTTTTTGTTTGTTTGTTTGCTTTTTGTTTTTGGAAAATGGCATGCCATGTGGTTGAACTTGATATACTTGTAAGTACTTAGTTTTGTTATTAGGCTATTATATAAACAAGACTGATTATCCTATAATTTACTTTTTTCTTTTGTTTTAAATTTTTTTTCATGTTTCTTTATTTTTGAGAGAGAGAGAGAGACAGAGCGTGTGCAGGGGAGGGGCAGAGAGAGAGGGAGACACAGAATGCGAAGCAGGCTCCAGCCTCTGAGCTGTCAGCACAGACCCCGACGCGGGGCTGGAACTCACGAACCGTGAGATCATGACCTTAGCTGAAGTCAGACGCTCAGCGGACTGAGCCACCCAAGTGCCCCAATTTACTTTTTTCATTTAATGAAATATCTTGCTTTTTCCTATGGCAGCTTCAGTAGAATTGTATCATGTCACAGATACATTTATGCTGGCCTGCCCAGCGTTAATTCTTCCTTCTTCTGATAACAGAACTTGAGTTTTTCTTTAGGAAACCACCCCAGCCCAATTTTCAGCTTCCATACTTCTGGTGAAGTTGATTCTACCATTAGATCAAGGAACTGACCTATGACTAGGGCTAATTTTCAGTTGGTACATTGCCATGATCATAGCAGTTAGGTCTGACCTCATTCCTTACTGGTCAGTGTCCATTCTGATTCTGCTTAATCAGAATATACTGGCAATAATTGGTTCAAGGTTGGACAAATGAACCAAACCAACACAGTCGGGCCCAATCAGCAGCACTAGTCATCAGACTATTGCTTGAGCAACCAGGAAACAGCTCATTTTTTCCATCATAAGCCTGAAACCACATGGTAAAAGCCTGCCTATGAATGAGCTAACACAGAGTAAAACAAAGGTGGAGATATGGAATGAGATTGGGTCCTGATTATATCATCTGAGCTCTTGGTTACAGGCCAACGAATTCCCCTCTTCTGCTTCAGCTGGCTTAAGTTGGGTTTTCTATCACTTGCAACTGAAGGGTATCTGAGTAATTAAAAGTTTCCCACCAAAAGTAGGCATCAGGCATCATGGTTGATAGCTTTAATTCTTGTCACCCTATGATTCACTCTCCACACCACAGCCAGAAAGATCTTTTTAAAAAACAGATCATGTGGGGCACCCGGGTGGCTCAGTCAGTTGGGGGTGGGAGTCTTGATCTCGGCTCAGGTCATGATCTCACAGTTGGTGGGTTTGACCTCCACAATGGTGGCACCAAGCCTGCTTGGGATTCTGTTTCTCCCCCGATCTCTCTGCCCTTCCCCTACTTGTGCTCGCCCATGCACACACACGCCTATGCACTCTCTCTCTCTCTCTCTCAAAATAAATAAACTTTATAAAAAAGAGAAAAAAAGCCAGCTCATGTAACATCTCCGCTTAAAGCTCTTCAACCATTGCACTTACAATAAACTCTAAACTACTTAACATGACCCATAAGGGTTTAACTACCTTCTCCCCCACCACCACCATCTTGTCAGTCACCACACTTTATTGCTCTCTCCTCATAATACCCTGCAGCTATGATGGCTTCCTCTCAGTTCCTACAACACACCAAACCCACGCTCGAGAGCTTCTACGTTTGCTACTCCCTCTATCTGGAGGGGTCCTCTCCCCACTTTTCTCCTGGCTGGCTGGCTGCTCCTTCATGTCTCAGGTTTAATCATTACTTAGAAAGGGCCTCCTGGACCACTCGTTCTAAAATAGATCCCCTTTGTTATTCTCTCTCATAATTACCCTCTTGGTTTCCTGCACAGCATCTATCACCATGCATTATTATGCATGTATCTGTGAATTTACTTGTTTAATGTCTGAATCCCTAACTGGACTTAAGTTCCACAGAGGGATAGCCCGATACCTATATACCATCATATACCCAGTGCCTTACAGAATGCCTAGCACTTAATAGGCACTCAATGAATATTCAGCGAATGCATGGATACTATGTTTAAATGCTGGCTTAAAACAACAGGTGAAGAATCCTTACTTTATCAAAATTAGGACCCGCTTTAACTACAGACCAGTTGGAGATCCAGGCTAAAGGGAGAACATCTGGAATTCAAGAGTCATAAACCATCTGGAAGGGGAAGAGGACATTTTTCCCAAGTACAGGCAGATACATCCCAAGCTTCAGGATCAGTTTTAAGGGTCAGATATTTTAAGGGCCAGTTCTTCATTTAAGGACAAAAGACCAGAGGATAAAGGCAGCTGAGAAATTGAAATTAGCCTAGACCTAGAGAAGGATCTGGGAGGTCTTACTCAGAAATAATACTCAGAGTCTCTGAGTATCTTACCACATACTGAATCTATGCCAACCTAAATTTACCTGAAGTGTCTGTGTCTTTGTTTGATATCCCCAAGATAGGGTTGGAGCTATATAAAGAGTTTCTTTTCTTTTCTTTTTTTTTTTTTTTAAGAAAGAATGGGTGTTTCGTAAGCTAAGCTCTTCAAACTGGCTAGCTATTCAAGTCCGTCACTTCTTTGCTTTGGGCTATTTTATTTCCCCTGTTTTATACTACAATTTCCTCCGAAATGTTTAAATTCTCTTTTGACTCACATTAGAGGAAAGAGTATATTTCCCAATCATATTTTAGCTATCGTAGGTGAGAAATCTGTTCACTTCCAAGATCAGGTGTGGTGTCAATGAAAGCAGGTGAGCACAAGTCTATTGACAGGGAAGTAGAGTAAAAACTCAGAAGAAATGGGTTAGATTCAGCTATAAGCCTTCTTATGTAGGCGATACCATAAATCATGTTTTCTCAGTGCTCTTTGTCCCTCTCTCTAACACCAGTATAATACCAAATAGCTGTTGGGTCCTTGATGATTGACCAAGTGGATCAAATTTATAAAAAGTATATCACAATGCTTTATGTACTTTTAGTTGTAAATAAGGATTTCTAAGATAATCAGTTTCCCACAGTTTCAGGAGTTTTTCAGTTTTGTTTTCATTACAATATAGCAAAAAAAAAAAAAATAAGCAACAGACTTTTATTGCGAATAATACTTGGCAAAAATGGTAATGTGTCAATACTTTGCTTGTTTCGTTAAATCAACACATTTGTTTCACAATATGCTTTGCTGTGACTATTTTCAAAGAAAATACATCTGAGGTTAGACTGCTAGGAATTTTAAATAACACACTTGCATGACAGCATCTTAGGATGGGTAGAAAGTGCCAAATATCGTATTATTATTCCTGTCTGTTAAACAGAAACCCCTCCCCCCTCCTTACTCCCTTCCGATATTACCATTGTAGAGCCTAGCACAGTACAAGGCCTAGAGGTGATTGGTCTGATACGCAGGGCCCCAGCAAGGCCCTGTATAGGAACAATAATGTTAATTTTTTCCCAGAGTGGTTATATAAGGGGAAACTACACAATTGTGGAAGCGGTGTATGTATTCTAAAAAACAAGTATAAAGAAACTTACTCTTTTTCATGTTTCTCAAAATTTTCAAGCTCTACAAAAATGAAAAGGGAAACGTTAGCCTTCTCTTGTTTTCCTGTGAAATCCGAAATACTTTAATCAAGTAGAAATACAGACGGCAGTCAAAAGGATTAATTTCCTTAAAAATAGCCTTCAAAACACACAAAATTATTTTTCCACCTTGTTATTTGAATTCAGTGCAAAGCCTCCACTTGATTTTGTCTTGCCATTTTTCCCACCTCCGTAAGAATCCCCCTATGTATTTCGAAAGAATGTTCTCAAAATATCAGAGGAAAAAGATGGGAGTTTCCACTTCTCTTCTTTATTAGGACCGTTCCAGAATCCTCAATGGCTTCTGAAGATAGCTGTGATACACAGCCATTCCCATTCTAGCCGAGAACTTTTGCTAAACGTATCCCCAACTAAATTTACTAAGGTCCACTCCATACTGTTACCATACCACTTCCTTCTCCCTCCACTCAGAAAACCCACTCAGCCTCCTTGAGGGTGAAGTCTCTAACTTATCTATTCCAGGAACCTGCCCAGATTTCTTCTTTTCTTCACATTGCCTCAGCATGTTTATTTTAATCTGTTCAAGGGTATTTTGTTCTTTTTATATTTTCATGTTGTTTCTCAGATAGATTACCTGTAGATTACCTGTAGTCTTTTCAATGGCAGGTAGATATCCTTTATGATATTTCTGTTTTCCTAATACATAATGAAACTGTATTCTTCTATATAATACATATTTAATACATTATTTTTTGGACAATTTCTGTTTAAATTTTTGAAAATAAGTCATTCATTTATGATTCAAAATATGGTAGTAAAAAATGCTCCCATCTTTGTTCTCCATCCACCCAGTTTCTAACACTCCCCCCACAGATAAACATTATTGTTAGTTCCTTATGTATCTTTCCAGAGTCTCTTATGAACACATATTACAAATATAGACCATATTTTCTCCCTTTTAAAGAAAAGTTAATAAATTATATCTAAATACACTGACAGAGTCCTCATTCTTTTTTTTAGCTATATAGTATTTCATTATATGCATATACTTTGATTAATGATCTATTTAATCAGTTCCCCTAATGATTATCAGTCTTGTCTTTCCAAATCAGCTGCTCTTATAAATAATCTAGTTTCCCTCTTGATTCTGGCAGCAGGGGAAAGGTGGAGGGTATGAACACCGTCAGAAATGGAAAGCCTTGGGGCACCTGGGTGGCGCAGTCGGTTAAGCGTCTGACTTCAGCCAGGTCACGATCTCGCGGTCCGTGAGTTTGAGCCCCGCGTCGGGCTCTGGGCTGATGGCTCGGAGCCTGGAGCCTGTTTCCGATTCTGTGTCTCCCTCTCTCTCTGCCCCTCCCCCGTTCATGCTCTGTCTCTCTCTGTCCCAAAAATAAATAAACGTTGAAAAAAAAAAAGAAATGGAAAGCCTTTGGCATGTTTCTTAAAACTCCCATCTTCTTTACCTTAGTCCTTGTGAAACTTTTTCCAGGAGTCTTCAATGTCTGCTTTGAAGATGTTGAATTGTCCATGGTGTTAGGACAGCTAGTAGAATAGGTCCGTATAGACTGAGCCTGCATACCTTAAAAAAAATGTTTTGTTACATAGCTTTTTAAGCCTTTGGGCTATGTATAGGTATATATTCGGGAATTCTTAGCTTTGCTTTTTTATGCATTATTTTTACAATACATTTTGGGGTTTTTTTTTAATGTATTATTTTTCTCTTGTTTAACCATTCTTTATGCCTTTTCAATTTAGGTCCTATTTTATTGTTAATCTGTTAGAAGTCTCATTTTTATAGCTTTTTTGAGAGGAATGTTCTTCCACTTACAATCTTCGTCAGCAAGAAGGAAGGACTCCAGGGTTCTTTCAGGGAGTGGAGGTGGGGGAGGAGAAGACCGATCTTGATGTAGATCTGTGATAAGAGAATACAAACAAAACAAAACAAAACAAATCCATCAATCAAAAGTTATAAGTCAAAATCCCTTTTTGGTGTTGTATAACTTTTCCAACTTTTCAATATTAACCCACAACAAGCAAATAAAAAATGACCAAACAATAACTGGAACCTCAAGAATTTTGTTCTTCTAGTTTTTTAGCCAAGGAGACTATGATTCATGAAAAACTTTTAGCTCACGTAGAAAAGTATTTTTCCAGGGGCACCTGGGTGGTTCAACTGGTTAAGCATCCAACTTAGGCTTAGGTCATGATCTCATGGTTCATGAGTTTGAGCCATGCATCAGGTTCTCTGCTGTCAGCACAGAGCCCTCTTCAGATACTCTGTCCCCCTCCCCCCCCCCGCCCCGCCTTCCCCTCCCTCCACCTTCTGCCCTCCCCCTTCCCCTTTCCCTCCCCCCTCTTTCTTCCCCTCCCCCATGCTGTCTCTCTCTCTCTCAAAAATAATAAACATTTTTTTAAAAAGGTGGGGGGGGGGAAGAGAACAGTATTCTTCCAAAGAAATTGAACTTAAAATTAATCAAGCTTCTAGTTCTAACTACCATTTTACATAGAATCCTGGGGATAGAGTAGCATGCTATATAAAACCATGAGAATACAAACAGGGAAATCTGGAATATCCGCAGTCTTTGACAAATGACCCATGCTCTTCTACAAATAAATGGCATGAGAAAATATAAAAAGGAAGGAAAACTGTTACAGATTTTAAAAGACTTAACGAATCTATAAACCAAATGCAGTGTGTAGTCTTTGAATCCATATTCAAATGAACCAACTGTAAAAAAACATTTTTGAGACAATTTGAGAAAATTGAATAAAATCTGGATATTAGATTAATATTAAGGAATTATTGTTCATTCCATTGGTGTGATAATGCTATTATGGTATGTTTAAAATGTGTTTGAGATTTTCCATGATGTAAAGAATTTTAAATAATAGAGCTATTTTCCCACAAAGTGAGGCTTAAAGATACAAATGGTGTATAATATCATACAGTACTGAGTATAATTATAGTAGTGTCTTTTTTAAATTTTTTTAACATTTATTTATTTTTGAGACAGAGAGAGACAGAGCATGAACGGGTGAGGGTCAGAGAGAGAGAGGGAGACACAGAATCTGAAACAGGCTCCTGGCTCTGAGCAGTCAGCACAGAGCCCAACGCGGGGCTCGAACTCACAGACCGCAAGATCATGACCTGAGCCAAAGTCGGCCGCTTAACCGACTGAGCCACCCAGGCGCACCGTATAGTAGTGTCTTTTGAAAATGAAAATGTGGTTCAAGGCTAGAGTTTTACCTGTCTCTAGTCTTTGGGTTCTTTAGCCTTAGGATTTGTCTCTAAATCAAGTTCTCTTGTTTATTTTTATACGCTGGATGATATGCAAAATAAAGTACACTGCTTATTTCCAGCTCCTAGTGCAATCCCTGGCATATAGTAGGCACTTAATAAATATTTGATAACTACCCTGAAGTCGCTTATCATCTTCCAGATTGCCATTAGGGAACACACTGAGAACTAAAACGAACTTTCAGTGAATGATATCCTGCCAAATATCTTCCTAAAATACCATTTTCATCTTATTTCTACCCTGATGAAGAACCTACAATGCTTATTACTTGTCGCATTAAACTGAAATTCTTCTGCCTAGCTCTATGTGTGTATGATAGAATACACATAACAAAATTTGCCATTAATGACAGTGCATTTACAGTGCTATGCAATCATTACCACTACCTATTTCCAGACCACTTTCATCACCCTAAAAAGAAACTCTGTACCAATTTAGCAGTCACTCCCCATTCTTCCTGGATTAGATTGGCTACCATGAATCGGCTTTCCCTCTGTATAGGTTTCCTTGACTTGGATATTTCATCTGTCTAACTTTAAAATCCTTCAAAACTGGGGGATGCCTGGGTGGCTCAGTCGGTTAAACATCCGACTTCGGCTCAGGTCATGATCTCACAGTTTGTGGGTTCGAGCC